GAACTTTAAGCAACAGAAGTGGCATTCATAGTTGTATTGGACCGATGAGATTTGCTTGACTCTGATGCAACACTGGAAATCATAAACTTATCATACATGCATTATGAGTTTAAACAGGTGCCTCCTGAACTTCTGGCCCACAAAGACATAAACGATGGGATTCAAGCAGGTGTGGGAGTAGGCTAGAGCCTCCGTCACCTGCAGGCTCAACTGAATGGCTTTGCTGGATTCACATGCTGTGTAGATACTGAGCACTTCTAGTGCCTGGAAGAAAGATGCAACATTGTAGGGGGTCCAACAGCAGAAGAACACCATGACCACCAGTAGCACGAGACGTATAGTGGTCCTGTTTTTTGACTTGCAGAGGAGTATTCTCCTCAGGATCATCGAGTAGCAAACCACCATGATGAAAAATGGTATCAGAAGGCTGGTCACATTCATTTTAAACAGGCCAAATGCTCTCAGGTGTGCCTTACTTTTATAACCAACTTCACACAAGCTTGTGTGATTTTGTAAATGAACATCAATGAGCGTTATTTCAGGAAATGAAGCCAAAAGTCCTACGATCCAGGTTACAGCAATCATGATGGCTTGATATCTGCGTGTTCTGGTTTTGAGGGAACTCACTGCATGAACTACAGCCAGATAGCGGTCGATGCTCATGATTATGATGAAGAAGATGCTGCTGTTGAAGCCAATGTAGTAGCTGCTCATGACGACTTTGCACGTGAAAGGACCGAAGACCCAGTCCGCTCTCGAGTAGTGGGCCAGGAAGGGCAGGGTGATGAGTAGCAGAAGATCCGCTCCAGCCAGGTTCAGGAGACAAATGTCTGTGATGCTCTGAAGCTTCACAGACATCAACATGACCCACACAACGAGGCCATTGCTGATTACCCCGAACACGAAGAGCAGGGAATAAAACACAGGCAGGAAAACAGCGCTGTGTCTGTCATACTTGCATGGTGCAAAATCCTCATAGTCATACTCATAGGTGTATTCAGAGGTGGCGTTGTCCAGAGTGTAATAGTCGTCACTGTAAAATATAATGCAAATGAATTAAGGGATTCAGTACAACACAAAATATAGAACACAAGACAAAGTTGATTAGAATTAAAACAATAAAAAAAAAATGATCAATTTAATAAAAACGTAATAGTAGATAAACATTGGGTTTCCAACATAACAGAAACACCACTCAGTATAATACCCTATAAAGAACAGGGACACTCTTTGCCTTCAGAACAGCTTCATTCCTTCCTCTAATGCTGTCATGCAAGAGCTTAACTGTGTGCAGTGGGATTTTGGACCAAAGAAAAGCCTCCCAGACTTGAGGGATGCAGGTAGATATCTACTTCAGACTCTGCACTCCACTACGTCCCATGAAGGTTAGCTGCTGGTGAGATATAGCCATGGAGGCCATTTGACTTCATTCCACGCTTGAATTCCTTTTCACTTCAGCAGTATGGTGGTATTCTCATCTTGGAATATGAGAAAATCATGAAGAAACAGTGTTTTTGCAATAGTTTACACCTAGTCCTATGAAATGGCCTCATATTCATTGGCTGTTATATACAGAGCCTGTTGGGGGAAGTAATAGTTACACTGAGGAAGCGATTTACAATTTGTGAAATAGACTTTTCATGGCTATAATTTGCTATTTGTGTGCATGATTTGTTTCTCCGAAAGGCGTACGCAACACCAGTCCAGTCTTCAGAGACTCGGGACAGCTCCTTCATGGTAGATGGTAGCTCTTGGAATTCTCTGAAAATCGCATGATACTTAACTCACAAAAACGCCCCAACAGTCAGACCTCTGCATAGATGACGTTTACTGCTGAATGGCATTCAGCCTATTAAGAAACACTACTGTACAGTAGCCTGGAAATGACTTGTTTAATTCAAAGTCTTTTCTCATGTGGTGATTCTGTTATTTTGTTCATCTTCTGTAGGATAATTTACTAAACAGCGATGTACAACATGCTCATTTTATGATTATGAAATATTAGCTTTGTACCATGTTGTCTGTTTATAAATATCATTGCATCTGTCCATCCATCTCGTTTTTGTAAACGGCATAAATCCCATGCATGGCTGTAGTCTGCCTGCAACCCACTTTATACTGTCTCTGTCACACATGTATGCTAACCCACAGGGGCCGGGTTTTGTGGGCTCTGAGTGCCTGACAGCATAAGACTGTTATTATATAACACCATGCATTTGTTTCAGTAATTCCAATGTGCAGTAATACATTTTGAACCAGGTGGAAAAACAGCAGAAGACCTCGGCTTTGTGAACATTAACACAGAAATAAAAATGATATTCTCAAAGATGAATTCAATCAGTTCGGTTCAGTCATTCAATTCTTTTCGCTGAAATAAAAGAACTAAAAGAAATAAAAGAAGGAAGTTCATATGAAATCCAGCTTAATTGTTTTAAAAATTATATCAAATGAAAGACCCACCTGATTACTATTTACCCTGTGCAGAGATTATTTCTAACTTTACTCATATCGAAGACAAGCACTTACCTGCCATTGATACTGGGCGTAGTATTGGTGCTAGTCATGGTTCACTATCCCTCTAGAAATGTCAATTATTATTGTCGTCAGTATCTTTCAATCCGTTACGTCTGTGATGGTAGCTACACACTGCATGAGCTCAGTACTCACCAATATTACAATGAGCAAAGCCCCACTATCTCTGTTCCTGTCGACAAAGTAACATGCAGAGTGCGGTACAGTGTCATATGAGAGCTTACTGATGTCAGCCTTTGTGGGGGATGCATCCTGCAGTACCACTAAGGTGTTCTATCAATGTTAATGTCAATTGATTTTCAGCAAAGTATTTGCATACCAAGCATACTACATATCATGTGACTTTATTTCACAATACATGCAAAAAAATATCTAGTGATGTTTTGATTTGTTCAAAATCCTTGCAAATGTCAAACACAGTTTGAGATGCATGCAAAAGTAATTAAAAATAGAAACAGTCCATTTGAATATGAACTGTGAATGATTGCTGTTGTGTCTGCAGAAGGTGGTGCTTTGCCTGTGTTTTTGTGAGCTTTCCTCTGGTGAATGTTTGGGTGAATACAGTGTGTGCTTGAGTGTGATGAATGGATGGATTGTACCCTGTACCATTCTTCCTGGGAAGGGCTCTGGATCACTGGAAAAGTGGTTACCTTAAGTGGAAATCTTCGTGCATGGAACTACAGTAAGGTGTGAAGCGTGAAGTTTCTTTCAAAGACTTGGCAGCTCAGACTTGCTACCATTAATTTGCTGATGGTTTCAGTCAGGAAATCCTGTTTACTTTGTGTGTGTGTGTGTGTGTGT